CAAAGTTTGCTACATAAAACTACAAATCTACTAATGGGCAGGCAAGCTGCGCTGGGATAAACCTTTGTGGAACTCACATATATTTTCGAAGAAAATAGTGAGTGTAAGTTTTAAAATCAAGGTTTCGCGGCTCCCCATCCCCTCCCCCTACCCATTACAGACCGTAGCAACTTCGTCAAAAAAAAAATTTCTGCTCGAAATATAGAGATAAAAGACACAGCATTTTCTGATAATCCATTATCTTTGGAAAAGAACTAATATCCTTTGGGGAATTTAAATATTGGGTATTTTGTGATTAGTAGAACGAAACCAAAGAAGATATGTGAGTTCCACATTTCAGTCCCAAAGGGGCTGCGCTAACAAGCTTTTTCGATGACTTTATCACCTCTTTATATTGACACATAGTTCTAAAAGTTAGATTGGAAATTTTCAGGCCTATGAATAACATATTATTAAGTTGGCTTACTACTATTTAATGAAGATTTTCAATATAGTGATCAGGTCTTCGTTATTTCGACCAGATCTCTTGACGAATTCTTACAGAAGATAGCTGTGTCACTGGGCTTTTGCATAAGCAGTTGCACGAAAATCAATATATCGGCATGACCGAGATAATATTGTCACAATATAATGACAGTGTTGAACTGATAACTTTAAAGAATATCAACGGTTTGAAGGCAGCATGATGCTCTCAATCGAAGTGCACTGACGGAAGCACATACTCAAAGTAGTAGCACGAAATGATGGGCAACGATAGCATTCGAGAGTGGCTTTGCAGTAGTTAATCTCTACCGCTCATTTCGTGCAACAATTTGAAAAGTTTTCTTTACAAGAGAAACAATCGTGGCAATACACAAATAATACTATACAAAACTATTGATTCTGCTTGAGTACCTAATATCTGTTCGATACTCATGAGCATAAAGGCTTTCTGAAGATATTCCACTTTTGAAAGACATACACTTACTCGTTGAATTCAGGAGAAATATTATGTGTCCACCAGCAGAATAATATCGCAAACTATCGAAGTTATTATATGAGTGAGAATATAGCACGATATTGACTATATATACATCAAGAAGTAACTTGTGATTTTGCGCCTACGCATATAAATGCATATTCACAAAACATGATTCATTAATCCTATACTGTGTTGGTTTCATACAAATATTACCGTCGTTTTGCTTGCGCTGTCTCTCGGCCTTGACATCGATTAATCAATAACAATGAAGAGTCGATTGAATATTCACTAAGAGGTGCACAATACCAAATAGTAGCGTATTTCGTTTTACCAATTGCACAGGACGGACAAAATATTCTGTTTTCACTATCTATCGTTGCTCTCTTCAACGCATAATCTGTATCAAATTCAAACTCAAACTATATTTTCACACATAAACAAGGCTAGTCAATTTCATCTACAACTGTATCGCTTTTTCAGTTCGATCTCCGGTTTTTAACACAGCCGCGGTAACCGTCATGATTCCAGTAACAATCCGTTGCCTGTACTGATTTCACTTGCGGTCCCAAGCCTCGTGCTGCTTTCAATAAAGATCCTGGTATATGTTCAGGCATCGGTTTCTGAATATCGAATGTGAGTGTGAGTGTGTGTGTAGATGTAGTGGAAACTCTAATTCACACGTTCATATGCATCGAGTTCTTATCTAAATCATCTATGTGAAAGACATCACCAACTTTTCAATATTTTTCTAAGGAAATCAATTGATTGAGCATGAAATAATGGTACCATTTCGAATAACTTTGTGCAATGATCGAAATAAGATTTAACATAATCTAAATAAATATTATTGGCATAATAATTGTTGTACGGCTTTTGATGTAGTTTGATGATCAGCAATTTTATTGTGTATGACAGTTATATTGCAATTTCAGCTTTTAGAATATAAATGTGAGCCTTTGGTTGAAGGGATAGAATATTAAACTCTCATGTCGCTGTATATAACTCAGACAAAATAACATAGGCTTCACGGACATAGCCTGTTACACAAAATGAGAGTTTATGTAAAAGATAACCTATCGTAAATGGTCTTTGTAATATTGAAATAAATTTCACTAATTTAATCATTACAATAGTTTATTTTGAAAGAGAATAAAACACTCTTAATTTACAGCCAAAGATAATTATTTATATAATGATAAAAAATGAGAAATAATTCAGAAGAAAAAACTTAATAATAACAATAACAAAAACAAAAACAAAAGAGAGCAAAAAAACCAAAGAAAGAACATCAAAGAGTATGAAGAAAACCAAGCTAGAATACTCTTTTATATAAGCATGAGATTTTATATTCTAGACATCTTCCTTAATTTTTTTTCTTTCTGATTTCTTCTAGCTTAGTATCAGTCGAAATAAACCGGTTAGCAAGAATGGTGCAATTGATGAATTAGTTTCCGTCAATATCTTTAACATAGTAATTACAATCTAAATTTTCTCAAGGACAAAAAAAAAATACTCTTTTTTTAGTCTCTCTTGTATGATTGCATACATACATTCGTATGTCTTTGTATAGGTAAGAGAGCTAAGTATATTTTTACATACATATTATATTGTATATACGTATTATTTTGTTTTCTTTTGTAATTATTTATAAATGACAGGTTTTTCATGATATTGAGAGAGAATGCAAACAACAATCGGACGAAGAAAAAAATTTTTTTTTTTCCTTGCTGATGTTTTAGAGTTTAAGTATGTCTCAACGTGTCTTTTTGAAGGTCTTTCGTTATTTATCTATTATAGTTAATTGAATGTAAAATGTTAGCGGTGTGAAAATAAGACCAAATGTTCAATAAAAATAGATCGGTCAATTGAATTCGAAATTGCATTAACAATCATCTTGTTTCTATCATAATATCTTCGATAAAAAGAAAACAACTATGCTTTGAATCGATTATCAGGTTTTTGATGGAATTACGCTGATTCTCATTCAAAAACTTTGAAAGGTGTACAATAAGAATTCTAGAAGTTACAATGGAAGTATTGTCAATTGTGTTTTCTTCTGCAACATTTGTTACTCAATAAAATATCATATTTTTTGAAAATATTGTCTTTTTAATCTCGAAAACCACTGCTTCAAAGGAAAATATATCTGAGCTTTATCATTGTCCGTACACTAGCTCATAGTGCTTCTTTTCATACAACGAAGAGGCATAATATTCAGAATATATCAACTGAAAGTTAAAATTAAAAACCATCTTTTTTTTTGTCATCTGATATCGTAAATATGCTATGCACATAAAAAAACAACGTGCTGTATCATCACATTTTTTTTCTTTCTCATTCTTTATTCAAACAGGTATTGTTAATGTGTTTTTGATTGATACAATTTGAATTATTCTTGACAGTTGCAATGATCATATGTCTCATTATCTACCATTTTAAATTGTAATCAACGAAAAAGAAAATAATGTGTGCTACACAAACAAACCATCTATCGATAAAAATAACACGCTTCTTTTACATCAAACATTCTTATGCAAAAGGTTATCGAGATTTTTTTTTGGTATTTACTAAATTTTCTTCCGTATTTTACATTTTTTTTCAATATAATGTGGTCTAAAAGTATAATATTTTTCATCAGATTAATTGGAAGAATTAATTCTAACAGTGTGCTTTGAAGAACGTCTGTTGATAAATGTTTCAGAGTTGTCATAGTCATAAATAATTGTTCACATATAATTTTCCTCGACAAAAATGTCCTTGAACAATGATCCCTCGTATGGCAAAGTGCTCAATCTCAGCTGCTGCTTTTCAGATATATTAGTAGTGAAACATGGACTGATGAAATAAAAAAAAATGTCGGAAATGCAAAATCAAACCAGAGTTTTTTTTCTTTACATTTAAAAACTGTGTGTTTCCGATTCAGTGCGAATTATTCAATAAAAAAAAGTCGTTTATAAATGACTTTTCTATATTTAGTATTTCACGCTGAATCTAAAAAAAAGTTGTCATATTTGAAGAAACCAAAAAAAAAGTATCGTTCTACTTTTCATGATCAATAGGTCATTGTAAGAATCTGAAGGTTTTTTCTCTGGAAATTCATGTTAAAGAAAAAGTGAAATCATGTATATCATTAATCAACTTCTCACACTATATTTAACCATGTATCTGAGACAATATTTCATAAAATAATCAATGAAGTTTAATATCATTAATTTTTTCTCTCTTGTATCCATTAAACTATCATCTAATCTTTCTATTATTTAGAGAATGTAGCAAAAAGTATAATCATAACGATGTCAAAATAATTACCAACATCCATCATACCATCTGTACATGAAAGCCAAAGAAAAGATTAAATAACACAGCATTTGAATAATATTGTTCATAAGATTGACAATTTCTGTTTCTTTAGTTTTTTTTCTGGATATGAGTATGGATCTTCTTCACTGACACTTAAATCCATACCCACATTTATTAAGTCTCATTATATAAAATGGCCTATTCTTAACTCTAGTTCCAAGTTTGGTGAGAATACTATGGTAGAAATATTCTAAAACAGTATGCTCTGTTGTAGAATGCATTTAACATTTTATTTTGCTGCTTTTTATTATCTTGGTGCTCTTCTATCTTTTCTTCTAGTGTTCTTTTGTGCATTATGAAATTCTTCTTTCTTCGTTCTTTTATTCATTTTTTATTAATAATTCAGATAAACTTGATTTTAAGCAAGTAGCGAAGTAGCTATGATAGATGTCTCTTTTCAAGAAAAGTATTGCCAATTTATTCAGGAACTGATGACAACAGTATTAGTGAAGCATTGTATTCTTTAAAAAAAAATCCATTCTATTTAGAATTAGGGCTTTGGTAAAAATGCAATATACACATGGCTGTATCGTTCCGAAACGAAGGAATTTTTTTCTTTTAACAGAGTATAGCAAAAGATTCTTATGAGAATGAGAAATTCATTGAGAGTTTCAGTCAAATAAAAGCCATATCAATATAATAATGTTCATGAAAATAATTCTGTATTTTTCAACTTCAACTAATTTCGATTACCCAAGGATGAGACGTTATCATTATTTAATACCAATGTTGTATTCTTGTTGCTAGTATCTGTACAAACTTCTATTGATGGATCATAGAGTTCTGCACTATTCAAGTAAGACCAATCCCCAGTTCCACCAACCACTAAAACTTTTCCATTTGTTAATACAGATGTAGTATGAAGCCGTCGTTTAATATTCAAACTTCTGATTTTTGTCCACGATTCTGTTAATGGATCATAAGATTCAACGCTACTTAAAAAATCATCATCTGATTCTCCACCAACAACTAACACTTTTCCATTTGCTAATACAGATGCAGTATGCGAATATCGTGCATGATTCATACTGCCAGTTACTATCCATAACCCTGTTGATGGATCATATAATTCTGCACTATTTAATGCAACATCATTACTACTTCCACCAGCAACTAACACTTTTCCATTTGCTAATACAGATGCAGTGTGCAAGTGTCGTGCATCGTTCATGCTGTTAGTATATGTCCATAATCCTGTTGATGGATCGTATAATTCTGCAGTAGAAACGTCATCATAATAAAATCCACCGACAACTAATACTTTCCCATTTTTTAAAACAGATGCAGTATGATGATATCGTGCATCCTTCATGCTGCCAGTCTTTGTCCATAATCCTATTGATGGATCGTATAATTCACTCGTTTCAATAGGTTCGATAGTTTCTCCACCGGTAATTAGGACTGTTCCATTTGCTAATATGGATGCAGTATGATACGATCGTGCTGTACTCATAGTTCCAGTCACTGTCCACGATTCTGTTGATGGATCGTATAATTCTGTACTCGCTAAGTAATCTGCCATATGTTGCCCACCAGCAACTAGCACTTTGCCATCCGTTAATACAGAAGCTGTGTGATAGTACCGCGGATTAATCATGTTGACAGTATTCGTCCACACTCCTGTAGATGAATCATACAGTTCTGTAACAGCACTATCTGAACTGCTACTTGAAGATCCACCATTGATCAAAACTATTCCATTTGTTAAGACGGATGCGGTGTGTTCAAATCGTGCAGTAGTGATGTTACCTGCGTATAACCAACCTAGAAAGAAAGATCAATTCATGATTCATGTGATTTGCACGTGAGATCTATGCATGATTCTTATCAAAAATAGATTGATCTATATGTCATCTCACAATATCCTGCTCGACTTGACGACAATGTTGACACGTATTTTTTCTATTCGAACGAATAAATTATGAAAAACAACTGATGTACACGCAATAACAAAGATCTTGAACAGATATCCAATTAATAGTATCGATAAACATTGCCATATCTAAAGAAAGCACTTGCGCGAAGTTCTTCGTCTGTGTATAGAGAAAACTTCGATTTTCAAGCTAACATTGAATTTCGAATTGAAAGTTATCTTATCAGAAATTAATTAAAAGAAAGCAGTCTATTTCGAATAAATTACCTCAGCCAGTTGTAGGACTGAAAAATACTCGTTAAAACAAATGACACTCGAAAAAACAAACTACGACTTGCTCCCAGTTTAATGCGTTGTCACTGTATTCCAGTTTTAGCAATAGTGGGAAATGAATGCTTGCCACTAATGAGCCAATCCAAGCGTTTCAACAAGCCTCTGCTTCTAAAATTTAATTTTGGAGATAGAAAATTGAAAATCTACAAACTAAATTTTTCGTCGAGTCAAAGCTATGAGAAAAAAGTAACAGAAGTGGAGTGCAAAGCGATTAGAATTTGCTAAAGATGAATCTAGTCCGAAAAATATTGCCGAGCTTTTTGCCCAGATGTTCTTACTCGACAGAGAAGATAAAAAACCAGAAACTGACATTAGCATTTTTTTCTTATCTTTGCTGTAAAGTCGAGATATGTTCCTTTTCAATATATATAAGCACAATGGGTTTCACAACTGATCAATAATCAGAGTGAGTGTGTTTTGGTCGATTCTTATCTTGATAACAACATCATTCATCATGACTCGATTTCATCCATATTGTAAGCATTAGCATATAGTATATGTATGTAGACAACTCTTGGAGCCACAACGATCCCTCTCGTCTACAATCATTGAGCAAACACTTAGAGAATGAATTTTTCAACTGTTCCTAACTTGATTCAAATTTTGCTTTTATGATAGTCTGCGAGATTTTTTTGGACTTAAAATTCTCCTTATAGTGTAACATCGAAAACTATTGAAAACAGTATTTTTTTTTGTAACTACTTTATGGTCGGAAGTAAAGCTACCATATTCTTATAGACATATTAACTTGTGGTAAACTTCTATAAGAGATATTGTATTCTCTCTTCTGCATAAGTCAAGTTGTGTCTGAATTTTATTTTTGAATACTACTACTTTGTAAAGAATGCTTTTCTATATAAACTGGTTATGTTTCGAAATGAGATAGTATCTTTTTTCCTGAACATGACATCATTATTTTATGAATGAGTCAGAAACGAAAATTAAGTGATTACTATAACATGAATAGAATAAAGTCTACTTCTCACAAAAGTACTTTCCAATCAAAGAATAAATGCAGTTTTGCAAAAGAAATAGCATGTGAAGAAATTGGATCAATAGTTCGAAAAATACGAATCTAGTACTTTTTTTTTGTATCAATTGACTGTCACTTCTGACTCATTCATAGAATAATGGTGTCATATTCAGGAAGATAGATGTCATCTCGACTTAAAATATAACCAACTTGTACAGAAAAATATGCTCCACTAATTCGCAGCATTTTCAATATTTTCAAACACAATCTGACTCAGGCAAAGAAGAGAATACAAGAAACCTGGTAGAAAAGTAACACAAGTTAATATATCTATACAGACTTGGTAAATTTAATTCCAGAGATAAAATAGTTAAACATAGATACTGATTTCCATGTAGCCAGTGTTTCATCAAGAATTATCTTCGTATAAATTTACCGATAACTTTGTACGCTTCTATGCCCTTGATTCGTGATTTATATAAAAGAGAACTCCAGTCGGTTCTATACAAAACTCTATAAACGATTTAAAAACCAAAGATTATGTGTGAAATTTTGACGCGTAGTAAATTAAAATATTTTGTAAAAAGGTACTTTGTTAAGAATTGATCCTTCATATTTCATAAATCGATTTCAGTTGATGGCTTAAAGTATTTGTTATTTCAAGATGGACAATTTAAGACATATGTGAGCACCTAGGGTAATCAAGATTGTTACAGTTATACATTGCTCATATTAAATCAATATCATTAATTGAGATTCAAGTTTCAGAACTATCTTTGGAATTTAGGTTTATATTATACCAAAATAAGACTACAAAGTTTGTGTTCATTATGAATTTTTTACATTACTCTATCGTTAAAGAAACATAGAATCTTTTCAGTTTTATATTAGTGTCAAATGAAACAAAGTTACAAGGAAAGATTTGTAACATGTCTTGAATTATTTACATTGAAGGAACAAAAAGTTCAGGCTATCAACTGCTGACGGCTGAGATCTATTTATAAAATATGAACCATCAATTTTTAACAAAGTACCTTTTTACAAATATTTTAATTTACTATGCGTCAAACTTCTACAAATAATCTTTTGTGATAATCTTTAATTTTTAAATCATTCATAGAGATTGGTAGAGAATCGATCGGGTTACATTTTGACATTTAATCATAAGTCAGTGTAATTAAATCTTATAAAGTTATCGACAAAATTATAAAATATCTATTTTCTAATGAACATTCGTTAGTTTTCAAGCTCTTTTAATTGATATATTGAAAATCAACAATCAATCTAAAATTAAAATAAGATATATGTCATTTTATTAAGTGTTTCTAGTATACTCTCAAAACTATCCATAATCGACAAGTTTTCGATAGAATACTGGCATGAAAATTAGCTCAGTATGAAGAGAAACCTATAAAGAAAATTCCAAGTCAAAATACTCGCGTAGATTGTCATACAAGTAAAAAGTTGATCGATTTTGAATCTATTATACTTAAAATATTGAAAAACAATCATATTTTAATTCAAACTGACCAAATTCATTAGACTAGATCCATCTTTGTTAAAACAACGCGTGTTAAAGTAAAGACGCTAGAAAAACCAACAACAATATAATCGATGTTCGAGCGTGCTTTTTGTCGAAAACTTAACTTTGTCATTTTTCCATATGAAAAACATGAGAAATAGCTTTCCAACTGAGTGCAGTGCTAATAATATCTGTTCAGGACACAATAACTCATATTTTGATGCGTTCTATAAATAAATAATTTGAGTTTAAAAATAAATCAATTTTGACAAAAACAAGCAGATTCTTGTAATAAAGTGTTCATTTTAACAATTCTGAGGGGAAGGACTCATTTTAAGAAAGAGATTAATATTTCTTTATCTTGTCTCTCATTTCTTATGAATAGATAAATGTCAGTCTGATCAACATGTGTGATAAGTTGGAGACATTTTATCATTATATGTCAGAGTTAAAAAATTTACAAAACTAGTTTCCGCTGAAGTCCGAGAACAAGACATCATAGTAGAAACGTTTGAAAACAAAAGTTCTCCAAGATGCGTCGGAACACGGGAGCAAGAGATCTCCAAATTGGTTTCTATTGAAAAATTTGAATACCAGATTGAAACTACTTTCTTCTAATGTATTAACTTGCGTGTTATTGATTTAAGGAAAAAGCCGAAGATTCCGTATTTTATGGTACTCCAGGACTGTGTCTCAAGTATTCTCTAGAACTTTTTAGCTATATGAAGTCTACTCTCAATGTGTGAATTCAGTTTATATAAGTTTGTCTGATAATAAAGCCCAAATCACCATTGTATTTTACTAATACTCAAATGCTGAAGTATTTGGATCTTATTACCAAACAAACTTATGTAAAATGGATTCATACTAATATACATGTAATACACGTTAATAACAGAATTTGGAATAGCTCAATAATTCTAGAGGATAACATTGACATGTCCTTGGATTACTCTAAAGCACAGTGAAGTACTGATGCAGTAGAAAATTTTCGCATTTTCTCCTTTGGATTCTACGCTAGTGAGCATCATCAATTGTTTTGGCTTTCAAAATGTACCTAAATACAAGAAAGAGTACAACCTGCGTAGATCAAAAAATTTTGGGGTTAACCAGCTCTTTTTCCATCACAACATATTCAAAATCTTGGTTTCATCACTAGTATGGAGAGTACTCGAGTGCATGTGGTTGTAAGCTTTTGTCTGCTGTAGATTGTATTTTGGCCTGGAACCACCAATCAACTTGATACAACGCGATGGTTCTTTAATTCTTGTTACGGTTTGATATCAAAGTAGAAAAAGCTTACATGCAATGATTGTCGTTGTTGTGGCTATGGTTATTTTCAACGTTGTTGTTGCTGTTGTTGTTGTTGGAAGTGATATCACTATGCAAAGAGGAAAAAAAACATTTAAGTAAATCAATTGCAACATAATAGTTGTGCGGAAGCCTTAGTACATTTTAATGTTTCAATATTTGGTTCATAATTATATTTGCCATACCAAGAGAAATCAGAATCACCAAAACCTTTTACAATATCCTCACACATTAGAAAAATAATGTACAAGAATTCATTTGAATTTTCTATAGATTTTTAAGTTTTCAAAAAGCTATGCGAACTCTTCGTGCAGATTTTTTTCATTACATTCACTTTTGAGTGTCAAGTATGACCAGAACGCAGTACATTTTGACCTATGATAAGTTGCTAAAATTACCAGTTCCGACAGAATCTGAGAAGAACAGTTTTGGCTTGAATGTACGATACGGCTCAAAACTATTTCGTAAAAAAATCAAAACATTAAGTGTGATATGCTTTCGATTAGGCAT